CACTTTAAACCCCTCCAATCCATACATGAAGCAAACTGACACCCACCATAAAGATGTGGCACGACCACAAACACGAAGCCAAACAACAGCAATGAAGCTCACCATCTCAAATCCCCCTGCAACTCAGACTAACCTGAGCACAACAAAGCCCCCACCCAAACAGAACACTCCCCCATCCAATCAGAGCACAGCCAACCCCCCATCCAATCAGAGCACAGCTAAGCTCCTTAACCAACCAGAACACACCTCCACCCAATCAGAACACAGCCAAGCTCCCACCCAATCAGATCAAACCCCACTGGCAGTTAAAAGGAAGAAACAGCTGCGATCACACACTACTCCTAGAAGCACGAAGCTGAAGACACCAGCCTGAAGATGACGAATGTGACTTCGTCGAAACGTTGCCAAGTCACTTCTAATTTTACGCGGGAGAAAACCCGAATAACCGAAGACCTACATACAAACACCCGCAAAAACCTCAGAAAACATATATATATATATATATTAAAAATAACATTAAAAATAGAAGATTGATTCCTGGGTATGAACATATTTTTAAAAGACAACTAAGTGATCACTAGGAAGTATAAAACAATACAGTTTTAATAAATAAAACCAAGCTTTCGATGGCCTAAAACTGCCATCATCGTCAGGGTATAATCAGGATGCTGGGAGAGCTTGCTTATAAATACAGTCATGTCTGCGCACGGCTCCTAGATCTCGTGACAGGTCCCGGCCGGCCAATCCTGGCCTCATCTGCAAACTGAGTTAATTCTTCCTTACCTTCTTTACCTACATGTGTGTTGCCGCCCTCCTCCCCCCTTTTTTGTGTCCGTATCTCAGGTGGGCGTCCTCTGCTTTCCCAGGCTGGAACGCGCCTCCCGTCCTTGGGCTGATTCACCCTTGGGGGCCATTCCATCTCCACCCCTTTGATGTTTATCATGATTACCCCCCCTTTCCCTTCGGTGAAGTCCAGTCCTAGGGATCCTGCATCCACTCACAACCTCCACTGTGTTCTTTCCTTCCATTTCACTGATACCAGTCCTAGGGATCCTGCATCCACTCACAACCTCCACTGTGTTCTTTCCTTCCATTTTACTGATACCAGTCCTAGGGATCCTGCATCCACTCACAACCGCCACTGTGTTCTTTCCTTCCATTTCATGCTGTGTGAGCGTTTTTCTATCTCGATGGCTTCTCTGATTATTCTGTTGTTAAAATGTTCAGTTTTGGCGATAGTTCTGGTCTTTTTAAAGTCAATTTTATGTCCTGTGGCTTTAAGGTGTTGGACCAGGGAAGAAGTTGGTTCCTCTTTTCTGACTGAGTTCTTGTGTTCTTCAATGCGTGCATTTATTCTTCTGTTGGTTTGTCCGATGTATGTGGTGGGGCAGGCGGTGCATGGGACTTCATATACTCCTTGATTTTCTAACTCAATTTTGTCTTTGGGGTTTCTTAGGATGGTGGATATTTTTCGGTTTGTGCAGAATGCTGTCTTGATGTTGTGTTTGTGGAGGATCTTGCTGATTCTGTCTGTGGTGCCTTTTATGTATGGGAGGAGGGCTTTGCCATTTTCTTGTTCTCTGTCTTGGATTTTAGTGGGGGTT